CCCACCCAAAGGTTGGCTTAAATCACCAATTATATTACATAGATTTTGCAGCAGGCAATGCAGACCATTCGATCCAACGTCTGTATCAGTGTTCATATTCCTCAGGAGCTTCCACCCTCCCAATCCCTTCTCCTGTACTTATCTATTCCCTTTTCTCACACGCGTGTAAGTTAACAGTCTGATCTGTTTAGCCCTGTCAGGATAGTAATAATAATCCTTGCCTTTGATATAGCACCTTATTGTGATTTTGAGACACCTAAAAGTGCTTCAAAGGATATACTGTAAAGTGAATTGACTGTATATTTTGTTGGTGAAATGTAACACAGTAAGGGAAAATCCTCATGTCATCTACATACTGTATTAGAACAAATATGGTAATCAGGCTAGAGGAATTGCATGGTAATTTCTTGGGCGAAAATCAAAAAGCCTTTGGTTTGAGATGTAATAATATAATAATCCTTGCATTTGGTGTAACACCTAATCACATGGTTGAGATGTCTTAAGGCACTGCACAGAATATCCTGGAAAGTGATCTGACTGTAAATCTTTTGGGCAAAACGCGGCAGTCAATTGCGCACAATAGTGTCCCGCAAACAGACTTGGATTGAGCGACCAAATTTTTGTGGGGAACCTGAAATATGACACAGAATGCCACTCTTCTCATTTCATATTATGTAATCAAACTACCCTTCAGCCCTAAACTCCCTAAGAGTAAATAGCTTAAGGCTAAGAGAGCAAATCAGATTTATACTGAATGTTTATCTCGAGGACTCCTAAAATCTTTATTTTTCTAGGCCAGCAGCAAGTCGTGAAGATTATTGCATATTTCCCCTTCCTGGCTTTACATATAGTTTCTGTGCCAAGAGAGTAAAAGCATGCCTAATGCCGAAACACTGAGATCCTGTATCCTGGACTAGAGCAAAGTTAACTGCTTATGGGCTAAACTTAGTTTGATATTCATCAATTTCCAAGAATTATGGAGACTATTTAAAAAACAATCAACCTTGCATTTGATAAAATACCTTATCACGTCGTTGAAAACCTTTCAATTGTTTCAGTGTTTTACAGTAAAATGCAGTAACTGTATTTGTAGCCGAATGCAGTAGCAGCCAGTTTGCACACAGCAATGTCCCACAAACAACCATGAAATGAGTGACTCATTTTTATCTCGAGGATTGTTAGCCAACACAGAGAAACTCCCTTCTCCTTTTAAATACTGCAGTGGGATCTTTAAAGCCCACTCGACTATGCATACATTCTTGGTTTAACGTCTTATTTGTAAGACTGCACCTCCAACAATTCAAGGCTTCCCAGCACTGTTTGGAGTGACAGCCTTGGCTACTGCCCTGTGGAAAATGATTTTTAAAAAATATCTAACTGGATGATTCCCATGCCTCTCAGGGGTTGTACAACCAATGAGGCGTGGTCTTCTTTGCACCAATTTCATATTTCCAGTGTATTCAATAATAGTCGTTTGCACACGTGTTCTGATTTATGTTGTTATAATAGATGACTACAGTTGTTTGTCCACAGCAGACTGGTTCTCTATCAAGGGTATTTGTTTCCTATTAATTGTTGCAGGTGGACTGCTGCTTGGTTCATGAGCTACATTTCAGTAAAACTGACCAGATATATGGGGAAAGTGTCCCAATTTTCCAGCCATGGATACATTCGCTGTGAACACAGTTAATGTAAAACAGGTTTTTGAGCAATCATCCTGCTAGTATATTGACATATAAGGATCTCATAAAAAGCCCAGTACTTGGAAATATAGTCAACTCCTAATTTATTCAGCCTTGCAGCAATTTAGTCTAAACCCACATTAACTCTTCCCAGCTGGGTCATTGTATAGAGATCAGAGGCTTGAAATTTCTTATGGTCTTAATCTTAAGAAATTTGCAATAAGTGTGCAGAATTTTTGGCTTCCAACTTAAAACTGAAGCCTGGTTGATTTTCCCCTTCTTAGACATAGAGGACACCATTATCCTCCTGACAGCTGTAATGGCTGAGATCAATTAATTCAGCATAAACCAGGAATGAATCTTCTGGTCTGTGTTTAGTAGTATGTCATAATAACAATAAAATAATAATAATCCTTGCATTTGCTATAACGCCTTATCACGTCATTGAGATGACTCAAACTGCTTTGCAGAATATATTGTAAAGTGGATTGGCTATTATAAATATTATATTTCTTATAATATTATAAAGCCATGTGTTGATTTTCCACATTAAACTGTTTGGTGGAATCAATCGTAAAAGCAATTTTAGTTTAGGATAATGTCAGTCCCTTCTACTTTCTTAGTTTATTGGATTCTTAGTTGCGCACATATCCTTAAGTTTAGGTTTGTCCAGCTATATAGTGTATCTCTTTTATATCATTATATTTTTCAGTATTTTAGTTAGAAATCCCTTCAGTGCGGGAGATGGTCCACAAATCCCCCCAGATTAGTGTTGTGTTACTTGGGCTGCTGGAAGGAACCCCCTTTGCCTGATTCAGATATCTTACCAAGGAATTTATTGAGAAAAGCTAGGCTACAAATTGGACCCAAATATGTTCCTTGCTGTACAGTAATTTTGCATTACTTCTTCTTGAAGTATAATAATCTCATGCAATATCAATTAGCTATAGGATCGATGTAAAGTGCATATAATTCATGATAATGTACCCCACTCTACTTCTTCACATGAAAGAGGAAATAAGTACATATAATATTTTAGTAGGTCTGATTGCTTTAAAATATTTAGATTAGCTGGGAATTTTATCACAATACTGTAGGCCAGCAAAATGGTGTGATGTTATGTTCAACTATTTTCCATTGAATTTGCATTCATTACTCAGGTTGAAATTTTTTATCGTAAACCCACTTTACTGACAAAATGATATCTCTGTAGTTATTCCTATGTCAATTGCACACTATGAACCCTTAAACTCTGTTGCTTTAGAAGAACAGGTCTTATGGAAATCACGGTAAGAAAATCATCAACACTTGAGGGGAATGAACACGTTTCTGACAGTGTTCAGATTTATGTAAAAAGGTCAATGAAGAGAGAGCCCTAGTATGAGTTTAATTATCCTGCATACTTGATGCTTTGCTTCAGTTCCAGTACATGAGCGCTTTCATAATAATCCCTTCAAAAAAATAATTTTATCACCCAGTCTCCGACTGTTTGTGGGACACTGCTATGCTGACGTGTTTCGCCCACAAAGTATACCTTCAATTCACTTTACAGTATATTATGTGAAGCGCTTTGAGACATCTCAATAATATGACACTACATCAAATGCAAGGATTATTATTATTACTATGTTGGAAATATCACTCACATTTTCCTTATTTACATCAAAGATGTACTTCTTTCTTCAATGCAATGTATTTTTTCTCCAAATCGTTAATTTAACACTAAAATGTGTTATTTAAAATGCCATAATAAGGCGGGCCTATACACATTATCAGTGTATCTCGAAAAAATAAAATGATCAAAAATAGATTTTCATGTATCAATTCAATAAAAAGATTGCAAAGGGACCTTCCATAGCTGGTGACTGTGGGTCTGAGTCCACCTACAACATGATCCGTTACTTCAAAAACGGATTTAAGAATATTAAGGTTCTTTTTCTAAAAAAAATCCCTGAATAAATTGGATCCTTTGAGATTTTTTTTCAGTGAGTGTAAAGATTCTTTGTACTAGAATGAAACTGTCTTGAGATCCAATGATCATCTAAGAAATGACCCCAAAACAAACATGTGCCTCGCAGCATTCCAGTAATAAAGTCAAGATTCCCGACAATCTGGTAAAAAGCCATGCTACCATATCCGGAATGTTAGATAGACTGAGGAGCTTCTGTAACGATGGGCACAGCTGGAATTAAAATCAACAAGCCTCATCCGTACACAACCCCAATCAGATCCGCTTTATACAGCTGGTGTTATTGTATAGATATCTTTTCTGCTTTTACATATATTTATAATAGGAAACACAGGCAATGTTTAGGTTTCTTTATCCCCACTCCCCCCCCCCCACCCACCCTCACCCCCAATCCTAAAAGGACATGACAGCGAGTGACTGGCTGAACAGCCGGTTTGATAACACATCCTAACCATAATGTTTTAGCTTTAGGAAGAAAGGCGCAAGTTGAAAAATCCGGAATATTAAATTTAGTTTCTTCTTCAAAGTTTAATTTCATCCAATTATCAGTAAATGCGTGCATGTTGTGTGTGGGAAAGCATCCCACAGCGCTGTCCAAGTCTATGAGAAATACCCTTTATTGTTGAAGTAGCCTGTAACTGAGGATCGGCACTTCATGACTTCCAGTCAGGGATCCATGCAAAGAGTTAGTTATTGCACTCGTCCGTCAAGAACATTTTGTCAGGAGGGGAAGCAAGGAAACCTGAAGTGTGAAATCCGTCGGTCAGTTCAAAAGTGCCCCTGAGACACACAAGTCTTTTGAAAACTGCTTTGATGGATGGATGGAGTGTGTAACTATAAACCTCCATCCCCAATCGTCTCTCACCACCTCTCAATCCAGCCGATTCTGCTGGGACTCTGCCAAGGTGATATTACTGTTGTTAGCATAACAAAAAGGATAGAGGATCTGAACGGGTTTTTTGTGCTTGTATCAACCTGACCTCCCAGCTCTTTTTGTAGGGCCATCAGCTGTTTTAGCTTCAGAAAGGAGCAAATTGAAAAGTCAGGAATACTAAATTTGATTTTTTCAAAGTTTAATTTCATCCAATTATCAGTAAATGTGTGCATGTTGTGTAACCGCTCAGCTCTTGCTGACAAAACAAAATACACTTTACTATATATTCTATGAAGCGCTTTGAGACTTCTCAACGACATGATAAGGCACTATATCAAATGCAAGGATTGTTATTATAGTATAACATGGACTTCAGTTCTGGCCTTAACTTAAATGTTTAGGTCAATGATCTAGTGATTTTTTAAAAGAATAATTGCTAATAACGACAGCAATTTTATGAAAGAGAAAAAAAGTGTTTCTTGATCAAATTGTGTTTATTAAAAGGACACCGACCTGATATGCCTAGAAGTCGATTCAATCGTATTAGAAGGCACGGGTGTGTGACATGAATGGCACTTGTTTACACAGTGTTGGGACTTATACAGGACCCAGTAAAAAAATACCTTGCCTTTCACAAAGTGAATATTAATAACATTCAGTAATAACATTCCCTCAATAGACTCATTCGTTTTTTTAAAAAGGTGTAGATTAACAGATTGAGGTATTAGAGAAACATACAGAGAAATTAACAATTCAAAATTAAGCCTGAGATTGCACTGTTTGACGGAATTAACATGAGGTCTCCTGTTAGGTAGAAATGCAATTGTAAGGAGCATAAGGCAAAATACTGCAGATGCTAGAAATCTGAAATAAAAATAAAAAACAAAGTTGCTGGGAATACTCAGGAAGTCAGGCAGCATCCATGGAGAGAGGAAAGTGAGTTAACGTTTCCAATCGATGACCTTTCGTCAGAACTTAAAAGAGCATGACATTTTTACGCAGTAAATCTCTTGCCTCTTTGTTCAGAGATGAGAACTCCTGGACTAGTCAACATAAAAATAAAACAGGACTCACGATGCAAAGAGAAACAAACATTCAGTCCTTTCTCACCATTTACCAACATGTTGAAGAGAACGTAGTACTATAGTTTAATTAATGCACTGGGATTTCAGCAAGTGTCTGTTACACAAACTGACCATCTCTCCCTATGAGGGTAAATCAGATATAAATTTATTGCTAATGCATTTTCTGGTTAATTACTATGATTCACTAGAAACTTAGTTTATATTTCACATATACAATAGCAGTTAACAGCCACTTTTAGTACTTTTTTAAAACAAATAAAGTCAGCAGCAGATTTAAAGGCAATATTTTGCAATTCTTCCAAAGTCACGTAGTATTTTCCCCATGTGCGGAAGCAATGACAGACATTGGTTTGTGTACAATTTTTTTTNCTCTCTTCCCAAAGCTGGAATCCTCTTAAGAGCCTGGCGATGGAGCGGTCAGTGCTGACGGAGCCTGTCTGCAAACACATGGCACAGCGACTCTTTAATCTATCAGAGTCTTGAGATCCGGCACGTCCCTCACCCGGAAATCCAAAAGCATCTGCGCATATGCTTTGCCCTGCGAAAACATGTGTTTATCCAGTATTTAATATAGTGGGATGTTAGGAGGCTCTGGGACATGTTTATTCATACAGTATGTGTATCTATACTGTGAATGCCCTGTTAATACTGTTTCAACGTTTAAAAACAAATTGTAATTTTGATGTGGGTTGTTCTAGGAATTGGGATCACCACATTAATTTGGCAAATGTCCTTAATGTCAAATGACCCATCCTCTGTGTTTTTAAAAAAAACATAAGTTTAAGAGTTGCAGACAGTCAGCAGACATTTATTGTTGCACTGGCACAACACCGTTCCCTTTGAGCCATTCAGATACCCTTGCACATCCAGTGGGCATCGCTTTGTTTTGGTCAAAGTATCCAAACCAAACTGAGAGTTCCACGCATCCCACCTACACATGGAAATCCCCTGAAATAAATTGTTGGAATGGAATGCGCACTCTCTTCCCGATAGGGAAGCGTCCTGCTTTCCTAATTCCGGAAAGTACAGGGTGACCAAAAAGTTATGATAATTTCTAAAAACAAACAAAAATACCATCATTTCTTTAGGACTTATTAGACATTTGTAATGGTATTACCACTTTTTTGGTCACCCTGTATTAGGCGCAGGTTGGCAAAAGCCAAGGCTTGGGGACCCCAGTGTGTGAGTTGGGGTACTGCTGGAGTCTAACCAGCTAAAACCGCAGAGCTTTCCATTGAAAGTACTGTCCAGCAAGCTTTCCCGCTGCTTGTCCAGCTAGGACCACCTTACACAGTAGCGCTTTGGCTTGCAGGGTTAGCAGGAGCTGGGTGGGCAGCTCAGACTGCTATGAAACAAATAGTTTTGAAGAACATCTTTATCTGTGCTGTATTCTAAGATTTATAAAGTACTTGTCTTCAAGTGGTCTGTGTGAGGAGCAGGAAACCAGATTAAGCGCAGGGCTCAAATAAATTTGGAGATTGGGGCTACTGTATATGGAGGAAACATTTGTTGGGTAATCAGATACTATAGATTACAGTAATATGCTACCAAAGCCATGTCTTACAATACAGAATTCACAGCAACCTCACACATTCATTTACAATAAACTGCCACTCTCCTGGGAGACCTGGCTTGCTTTAGTAATTACTTATAACGGTCATCTATTGAGACGCCCTTTTTCTCACATTAAATATCTAGAATTGTGCATGTCATTTGGAGGTATGTAAATTGGTTTTATACCTGCGGGTCGCTTCTCAAAGATGCAACACCCCCACCTCCCAGAGAATTCTTGAGAACAAAATTTAAGCCGTGGATTCCTGGAAGCTCAAATCTGAGAACAATGGAATAGGTTTAAACACGTCAGTCAATCAAATCAACCTCTGCAAAACAAACCGCGCTTTAACCTGTTTCAACAGAGTGAGTGCCCAACGAAACTGTGGCTTCATGTTAAGTGAGTGAAACACGAGGTGGGTGGGATTGGCAGGCAGTGTGAATGACTCAACTGTTTTCTCGCGTTTCTCAGCTGATCCCATTCAGCAAAGCAATGTACTTTTGCAGATCCTTATCAAGTGGAAACACTTCAAAGCCTCTCCTGGATTTAATTACTGTTGTGTAGATTGCTGCAGCCATTTGCAAGGCCCCACAAACTGGCACAAAGTGATTAGCAATTGTACATGGGGTTGGGGAAGAGGGAGAAAGGGAAATCACTTGAAGCTGGCTGTAGGAGGGAGTCCAAGGAGGTAATTCTTAGGTTTTGCAGATTAAAATTGTAAATGATGTAAATAAAAATATTTTCTGTTCTATTTTTCCATCAGGAGGACTCTTTGCTATATCTGTCTACTCTCTTCACCATGCTTTGGGCCATTTTCTCCCACCTCCCCATCCTTTTTGCTCCCCCACACCCTCGGACCTCACCCCCAGCAGGGATGAAAACTCTGGACAGTCCAGTGCCTTGATACATCCCTCCTGAAGTGAAAGATGCTGTATAAGTGTAAAATTTGTATTGTACTGTACACTGTTTGGATTCCCTTATCAACAGGTATAGCAAGCATTAAATTGCAGAGATTGTTCGTAAGATATAAGGACCATCTGTGTTCCAAAAAGGCGGCATTATAGAGGAAATCTATAATTTGTGATACAATCATTAATCCTTCATAAGAAAATTGAGAAATTAAACAGATACAGAAAAGACAACAATATAAATCTCAACATTTTCAGGTAAAATGTGCATCAGTGGTTGCTTTATACTTTTTTTTAAAAAAGTCCATTTCTGGATATTGGTTGTGCAAAAATACATACATAAAAATTCGCAAATGCTTGTAAATTTAGTACTGATTATAAACTGTGGTATAGCATCACTTTGTGAGTTGTCATAAATTATACAATACAGTTATCCATAATTTGAATCATAAATAGCAATTTACTGTAGTACTATGTGTAGTCTGTAGCTTAGTGTTTAGAGCACTCGCAAGTGAGGGGACCTGTGTTTGATTCCCAGCTGGGGGAAACGTTGGGCAAGTTTCCTTACTTCACACGCCTCTGTCTACCTAGTAGTAACTAGGAACCCAGTTGTTAGTCAATTGGCTGATCACTTTTCCGGGGATAATAATTCCTTGAAAATAAATAAAAATTTGGTCACTCAATCCACGACTGTTTGACCACTGCTGTGCACAATTGGCTGCCACGTTTTGCTCACCGAATATACAATCAATTCACTTTAAAGTATATTCTGTGAAGCACTTTTGACCCGTCTTGAAGACGTGCTGAAGCGCTATATCAAATGCAAGGTTTATTATATACGGCGTGATGCAATGCAGCCACAGGATCTCTTCAGTCAATATACATATTAATATATTTTTTAAAAATGCTTTGATATAGCTTTTTTCATGTCAGAAGGATGTCTCAAAGCTCTTCACAGGCTATATTGTAAAGTGCATTAACTTTTATAGACATTTCGAATATCAGCCTAAACTATGTGAGTTCTAATACAGTAGTGTTTTGTAAATAATCTCCCAAATAAAATTCTTGTTCAGTGACTTCGAGTGACTGAACAAGGCAGGTGGGCATTAAACTGAACTCAGTTCAATGTCTCATCTGAAGATAGCACTTCTGACAACACACTGCACTGGAGGGTCAGCCTAGCCTAGATTATATGAGTCCCAATGTGGGGGGGTTGAACCCACAACCTTCTGACTCAGAGCAAGGGAGCTACCGACTGAACCAGGCTGACACATTAAGTAGAAGCCACAGGATAAATTTCTGACATTTGAAAGTACAAGTAGCAACACGATGCATGTACATTTATAATGATGTCTCCAGATGATGGCCGTTGTGTAAAGTGGAAACTGGCAGGCATCCCATTCTTGAATACTGATCATGGCAGTCAAACCCAACCCAAGCCAAAAGGCTTGGACTCAATCCAGATAAGTGGCTAGTGCTGAATCTGATGATTATTTAGAACATCAGGATTGGTAACCGCAGGATGGATTAGAGGTTCTTCCTCTCAAAATGACCTTCCTTTTTGAAGTACTATATTTGTCATGTGAAACTAGATTAGATATGACATGGAAAACTAATTCTTATGCAATTGCTCTAAGAATTAATAATGGACAGTTCTGCAAAGTTATTATGGAAACGTTAGTCACATTATTCATATGTAGAGTAGGCTAAATCTCTAAAGGTTCAGTTCCAACAAAAGAATTCTTTTAAAATCTGTGGATGTAATATTAATAGAAATTTAGTGTTGTAAACCATAGTTTAGGCGTTGCCTCATCTTGATGCAGTTTGTGGTAGCCTGGCTCTGTTGGTTGCATTCTCACCTCCGGTTCAGAAAGCTGTGGGTTCTAACCACACTGCACTTTGAACTCACAGTGTACTGATATCCCAATACAGTACTGGGGGTATGCCCCATTGTCTGTCCTTTAGGTCAGACGTTAAGCCTAGGTCCTGTCTGTCTATTCAGGTGGATGTTAAAGATCCCATGGCATTATTCGAAAAGAGAAGGGAGTTTCTCTCAGTGTCTTGGCCAATAATCCCCCCAATTTTTTTTTCATGGCCATTTATGGGTCATTGCTCTGAGCAATTGGGTTGCTGGGTTTGCCTACAAATACACAGTCACTCCCTAACTAATCTTAACCCTGTGAAGCACTTTGGACATCCTCTCGATGTGAAAGGCGTTATATCAAATTCAAGTCTTATTATAACAACATCCACACAACAGTTTCTAGCCGGAGTTGCTGGACAGTGATCAAGAATGGTGTCTGTGGCTGATAGCATTCTTGGGCTAGGGTTAGGAATCTATTCCTGGCTAATTCAGCACAGACAGAGAATTGAACCTTGAATTTCCCTAACATTTCACTGTGTGATGCTTTTATCCACTAGGTCAATTTGGGAGATGCACAATGATATTCAGTAGTTCATAAATAAAATATAACCAGAAAACAAATATTCATAAATGAAAGTAACAGGTTTTTAAATTCGCCAGATTGTGATTTGTAAAAATGTTAACGTTCGGGGCTCTTGAGTTTGCTGTGACTTCACTGAAACTGGAACCCAATACAAGGGTTTCATCAGATATTTTCAAATGTGTATGATGGACTGACTAACCATTCACATTTGCAACATCTCAGATAATTGAGGCTAAGCTGTCTGCCATCTGGAATTAACTAGCAAGAGACATTTTCTGATGGAAGGAATCCAGCTTAACCTCAAGTCTCTTAAGCTTCTGCAACGTCACACCTGCAGTAAGCACAGTTCACGGGGTTTGTTCATCATCTTCTTGGCAGCACTAAGGTTGTGTGAATTGTGGTGAAAACGCATCCTCAAGTTGTACCTGGTGACTGGAGGAAACAGAAGGTGTGGGTTCCCAAAGGCAGAGATATAAATGGTGGACTCACATCCTTGCAATCCATCCCAAATGATTCTGAGTCAGAAGGTTGCGAATTCAAGCCCCACATTAAGATGTTGAATTCTCATAGTCCAAACTGACACTCTAGTGAGGTGCTGGGAGTGTGCTGCATTCTTGCAGGTGCCGTCCTTTCAATGAGCTGTTAAACCAAGAACTAGTCTGCCTGTTCAGGAGGATGTTACAGATCCTTTAGTGCTATTTGAAAGAGAATGAAATTTCTCTCAGTGTCCTGGCCAACAATTCCTCCCATTCACTTCACGGCTGTTTGTGCGACACTGCTGCGCACAAAATTGGCTGCCACCTTCGCCTAAAAAATAGTCCTTACACTTTACGGTATATGATGTGTAGTGCTTTGAGAAATTCTCATAAATTGAAAGGCACTATATCAAATGAAAGGATTATTTTATTATTTATTTCTGCATCTCAAGAGATAATTACGTGCAGATGTCTATTCCTCAGTTACATCCAAATATTATCATCCACACCGAAGTTAGGCTTCAAGCAATTTCATGTATTGAAATCAAAATATTCTATAATTATCACCTCATTTTGTGATATACAGTTGTTTACAGCACTTGCAATTACTGCATATTTTTTGCAGTAAAACCTGTTTCTTTCGTAATGAACAGCATGTTTCGGTTAACCATGCTCTAAAGCTATATTTATCCAAATGAAGAATTAAGGACTTTCTGGATATAATTATAATTATTAGTACTAAAAGTTGCTTGAACTCAGTTACAATTGACTTGCAAGGTTTCAAAACTAAGCAAGCCTGTGTTCAAAACTACAGAAAATTCATTGTAATTGACCCATGTGCAGTGTGGGAAGACAAACAGAGTAGTCAGGACAAATGAAGGAAATCTTTTAGGTTTGAATTACCATGGAACAAAATTGGGTGCGCTATAAGAAAGCCATCAAGTTTTATTATCTACAATATGCAGTTATAGATTTCACTCTGGACATAACTCAGGTCATCTCCAGCTATTGTGGTGCTATTTGTCAAACTATTTCAGTCATTCCAATAACACTCTGCATTATTTCTAATGGCTGAATCCTCGAGTTCCAACACTCCACCTCATAACTTTAGTTCATTTCTGGCACTCTCCTTGATAAAGTCAAGATGCACCTGCCTAAACATCCACCACTATCGTGCCTTTCAGTAAAGTTTGCTCACATGTAGATTTTTCATTGAGACTTTAACTTGTGACAAACATGACCACGAAAAATTTTTCATGGATAAATTAAGTACCTGGTTACCATCTGGAAGTCAGGATTTTCTTTCTCTATAAGATGCTGAAAATATTCCTCCACAGTCTTAGCAGTCAAGATTTTCTTCAGGTATGGATAATACAAGGGATGTCGAGCGATGATGCCTAGATGCACAATCCAGGCAACAAAATGTGTAAATAATACTCTTGTCATTAATTGTCTCAGTCATTTGAAAAATAAGTAGGACTGTGTGAAGATAAAGTTTCATCTGGTAACAACTAAAAAGAACATAATGATGATAAGTAATTTGGTGAAAACTAGCAAACAAATTTCATCAAAAATGTGAGAACTGGATAATGATCATTAATGTCAGTTAGTGAAAATACTTGACAGCCATGTTTAATTAAACAAAACCAAGATTACCAATATTGGCAGAATTCCCTTTGTCACCACTTCGAGCATAAGCCAGCTCTTCTAGTCTGTACCAGTTAGAACCAATGGGTAGGTCTATAAATGTCAACAAATAAAAGAAAGTTAGACCAAGAAATACATAGAATCTTCAACAATGCAAAACAAACTAAATATTTGCAAAATAAAACCTGATTTAAAATTTTCACACACATGCATATATAGATAAAACATTTAAAAGATGTAAACATACAATACTTAAAGACACTTTGCAAAAATGAATACATCAATAAAACTTTGCTCAGAAACTCGTCTTGAATAAAGAGCAATTTCTATGCAGTTATAAACTGAATGCAAGGGTGTAAATTTATCCAGTACATACCCAATATCTGCTCAAAGAACTGTGAATATAATAATCTTTCCATTTGATATAGCAGTTTATTACATTGTCAACATTTTTGAACGTGCTTGAAATGATTCATTGTAAAGTGTAACACTTGTGTATTTAAAGGCTAACAAATAAAGTGTAGTGACTATGTATTTGTAGGTAGTAGTTACTCTGAAAAGAAAACAGCAGGTCAGAAGATTATTTTAAAAGGAACTGACTCTAATACTAATTACTTTAATGCCACTGGGTGTGGGGGTTAATCCCATGCGCATCCAAGTGATCATGATAATTGTTCAGTGTGAAAGCCAATCTGTTAATTAACAGGGAGGGGTTTGACATTTCAAATGGATTTGACATGTTTAAGGAAAACATAAGTCTAAATTGATTTAACTGAACTCAAGTGACATACTTTAAAACAATCTTTTTTTCAAATTAACATTTCACATTAAGTCAATTTTTCTGTTCCATAATTTTGCCCACAAAATACTTCACAATATAAAATGTGAAGTGCTTTGAGACGTTTCAGTGTGATGAGGTAGCTATATCAAATGTAAGGATTATTACTATTATTGTAATTGGCTAAATATATTATCCTTTGTTGAACCTCATTGCAATAATAATAATTCTTGCATTTGATATAGCGCTTTTCACATCTTCTCGACATCTCAAAGCGCTTCACAGAACAGACTGTAAAGTGAATTGACTGTATAATTGTGGTCAAACGCGGCAGCCAATTGCGCACAGCAATGTCCCACAAACAGTCGTAGATTGAAAATGACCAATTTATTATTGTTTTGTTTTGGAGGGATTATTATTAGGCGTGTGGAGTAAGGAAACTTGCCCAAGGTTTCGCCCTTTCTGGAATTGAACCCAGGTGTCTCGCTTGCAAAGCGAGTGCTCTAACCACTGAGCTACAGGACTCCAATAGATCTGCTGTGGTGAAGGCAACACCCTGTGAATCTGGCGAGAAGTTTCTGAGAATCAATGTAACTATCTATGACGAACAGCTCAACAGTAGATGTCGAATGCTTCATTTACCAGTGCTGACCACAGTAAGCTAAACAAAGATGTGTAAGTGTTAGATCCACCAGACCCTGTGCTCACTTACAGATCGTAAATATTTAAACTTTAAATCACAATTGTAAATTTGCCATACACTGACCACCAAGATATCCTCCATCACCTCAACTGCCAATTCATGTAAATTTACTCACAGTCAGAGACTCGCATACTGGTTCTGAGGAATGTCAGCTGGTTAGGCTATCTGCTATAGTTAAGCAGTCCGAGACGCAATCTGGCGTGAAGAGCGCTATATAAATGCAAGTTGTTGAGGGTAAATCCCTAACTGCTCTTATTAACAGACGTTAACTTGGCCCAGGGAAGAGGGGGTGGGGTGGGGGGAGGAAGAGGAGGATGTTAGGTTCATCCTCAAGCCCTGCAATGACTTCCCTTGAGGTGAAAAGCACAGCATTACTTGCATACATCTCAAGGACAAGTAAGATCACTGGGCAGGTTGTCACACAACTGCTCCACTCCGGCTTTGAGTTGGGATGAGACAATATCACATGCACTGTTCTCCACCCCTTTTCTTCCAAAGTAACAACTTCAGGCACAAGGCAACCATTGGTCTATCTAAACTACTCATACAGTTTCTCACAGGATTTCTTCATCTAACTTTTAATAAATCTCTAACTATAATAACCATGAATCATGAAGTGACAGGAACCTGTTAGTTCCTTTGAGACTCTTTGTAGTTCCTTATTCCACCTCAAACCCCAGTGGTTTGCTCCACATGTTTGCTCCCCAGTAAGGAAACTTGCCCAATGTTTCGCCCCATCGGGAATCGAACCAGGTCTCTTGTTTGCGAGATGGATGCACTAATCATTAAGTTCCAATGCTCTGCTCTCATGTAAGAAACAGCCTGATGCTGGAAGAGGTAGATGGTAAGCTAGATATTCTGGAAGGATGCGATCAAATGAGCCTTCAGGAGAGAGGCGAGTGAGGAATGTTGAAGAAAACCTGGCGCTAATTAAGACAATATCTGACGAACAACACTAAACACAAATTTGAACAAGGTTGATTTCTAGTCAACTCGCTTGGAATCACTGTGATTTTTCATGAAATACAGTATGTACAAAAGAAAATAAACCATTTACTAATTCTTATTAATCCCATAGCAAACATTATCAAAAAAAAGCTGGGAGGTTGTTTATCCATGTGAGTATTGTTTGGTTACACTCATTAGTCCCAATCACAAAGACCTACTTTTTGTAAAAAAAATGCCATACTCAACAAAATGTGGTATTAATTCCTCAGCAAATAATCTCCAGCTTTGTTTTAACACCACATCAATTCAGATTTTCTTTACTTCAAACAGTTACTAAAATGTCATTTCTCCATGAAAGCTGGTCTTTGATTGAATTCCGAGTACTGAAATTGATTGAAATAGCCATTAAGGCTTGGAAAACATACCTTCTAACATGTAACACCTGCAAAAATACACACCAAGTGCTTCAGGATCCTTGCTGGTACTTCTCCCTGTTCCTTTTTTTCTCTTTCATTCTTTGAAGTCTCTCTTTGAGTCCCTTTAACTTTCTCCCTTTCTGTCTATGTGTCTCTCCCTCTATTTTCTCCCTCTATGACTGTCTCTCTTTCGCTCTCAAAACCTAAACCATACAAAAGTGTAAATGCTTAACTTTGCACTACAAGAAAAAAAACTAAATGTGAGAAGTTATGCATATGAATGCGAGCTTATGAGGCCTGCAATTTACTGTCCCTGTTATGTCCTCAGTAACCTTTTATATGCACTCAACTGCAGATTCTCACAGCCCCTTCCGTATCAGAGTCCAATGTTAGTGAGGGACATATGGATAATTGCCATGAGGATTAGCAGCGCTCCACTATGTGTGGTTGAGTTCCTGGCTCAGTGTCGTGCTCCACTACTGCCAAGTGTTCGGACCTACCCTGCTTGAGGGATGCTATATAAATGCAAGTTGTTGTTGTTCGTTGAAATGTCCTCTGAAAATGCCTTAGGGAGCCAGCTGTTGCAATCCCCACCTTCTGAGGGTAACCAAAAATGGGGACTTAAATGCTGGACCTGTCAGCTTTGACAACATTGTAAGACAGGATGAAGAAAAATAGGAGGTTCATGCGCTCTACAGACACAACACTTTTACATTTACGTAATGTATTTCATATCAGGAGAATGTCTTAAGTGCTTCACAGAGCCGACTTGGAGACCGTGCTGAAGCTGAAGGAGCTGAATGGGAACAGGAAGGACGTATAAGCGATATAACTTATCAAGTGCAAATTAAAAGAGATGTTGCAGTGTCCATTAGCTCCTTGCATTACACAATGATTGAGCAATAACAGGGTGAACAGGATGCTGGGCTATACTGCCAAATCAGCTGCTCATGCTGTACAATGCTGTGGTTAGACCACACCTAAAATATTATATACAGTTCTGATTGCTGCGCCACTAGTGGCTTCTCAGAGGAGAAACAAGAATAAATTCTGAGGAATTATCAGATTAACCTAGGGCTCTTCAGCTTTGGAACTAAACATCATGAGACAAACCCTTATAGAGGCATATAAATTGGAACATAGAAAGTTTTTAACCCAGAATAATACTTCAATACTTTCAGATAGTCCAAGGCAGCAGGCAAGAGTGCACATGTTACAATACAATTTGCATCTATATAGCACATTTCACATTGGAAGGAAGTCTCAAAGTACTTCACACAGCTGACTGGGCGTCTGAGCTGGTAGGTGATGGGGGAGGAGGGGAAGAGCTGAGTAAGTGTGAAGGTGTGAGGAGGAACATTTATTTACAGAGATTGTGGTTAACGGCTGTAACAAGTTATCAGGATAGGTGGTCGAGATCAAGTCGCTGGATTCATTTAAGAAACAGTTTGATGCTGTAAACAGATGATAGTTCTTAGCCAAAGGGCTTTTTTCATCTACACCTCTCTTGTGAATATTTTTATATTTTTAAGTATTATTGTATTAAGTTTCAGCTTTCCTCAAGATGAGAGATGTCAGCAATGGGAAATGGAAGGCCTCGATACGTTTGGTAGAAATGACTTTTCACACACCTTTAAGGTCGTCCTCTTGTTGTTCTACATCTCCCTCCGAAGAGGCTGAGGCAGGGTTGTCACAGTCCTCCTTAAATGTTTCCATAAGCTTTCCATTCAGAAATACATCAATCTATGAAAACACATATTTCAACGATAGCATACATTTTTGACAACATGCACAACCAAGCAAATGCGCAGAAGTCTGCTAATTGTTGCATCAAAGTTACTATAACAAAGGAATGTATTTCTTCTTTGTGTATATAATATATATTATGTGTATATATATTATATATAATACCCTTTGCTGCGGAATAGATACATGAAACATAATTTTTGTCTTTAGGCTGTATAATATTGTACAACTGCTGATTTTAGTTGACCTTCTTCGGATATCACTGATAACCCAAATGTAACATTATATCAATACTAACAACTAAAGCTCTAAAATATGCCAATAAAGACTTAGCACTGTAAAACAAAAGAGGTTTATCTCAGGACTGCAAAGCACACAACTCTGAAATTGCCATATATTGACCTTGAGTCTCAGGCATGACGGTGATATGCTACTTAGCTTCACCAGCTAAAAGGCCAGCTATACTTGAGTGTTAAAAAGCCATACAAATAGATGTGGGCTTCAGTATTATATAAAAGAATAAGGGAATGCTAGGATTGCACTGTCCAGTTAGAGGAGAGTTAAAACATGACTTCAATTGTCATTATGTTTCCATGCAGCCATGTACATGGTGAACAATTCTGCAGTTTACGTGTGTGGCATTTTGTAGTTAGAATAATCATTGTTATTTATGAGGTGCAATACCAATAGCAGTGTACGTGTGTGTCTTGTGTGTGTGGGGGGAGAGAGAAGAGGTGGACTGATAAGATATTATCCCAATTATACTACTTTATTGTTAAAAACATGGACTTCTGACAATTTTATGAAACATTTCACCAAAAACATTGGTTTGGTTGAACTTATTTGAAACGAGACATAGTTAGCCCAAAAGGAGTGTTTTTATAATTTGGAATTTTTAGGCTGCTTTCGATATCAACAAGATTTCAGGTGGTGACAGGAGAAGGGAAGGCACAATAGACAGAGCTGAGAAAGAGCAACGTACACCATTGGGATGTCAGTTTTGCAGCGATAAATGTTAAAACAAGCTGAAAGAGATCAAGCTACTCAATACCCTGTAATAACTGATGTCATGTCTTCCTTCTTACAGTAAATGTTGTACTTAAGATTATTTAATTCACTTTGCAACCTTAGAATCAACATGTATTAGCATGCAGTTGTGAAAGAGAATATCACTGATCTCTGAAGATCATCCTTCACATCTGGAACAGGTATGATGGAGAATGGCCTTGTTAGCATTCTATACTTAATTACAATGGAACATTACAGGGTGGAAATAGATCATCAGCCCAACTTGTCCGTACCAGTATCATTACTGCAAATGAGTCTCGACCCTTAATGTTGACTGAAATGAACATACTTGATGACCAAGAGAGACAAACTAAGGGAATTGCCCAGGGTTATATGGTGCAAGATGATCATCTATTAAAGGCAATTACATAAAAAGTCCTAACATCTTGTGATTTCCTCTGGTTCATGACTTGGGCAAATTAACTGACATGTGGAGGATAAGGAATGAAGAATGAATCAATCAATCGTACGGAGTAAAACGTTAAACAATCTAAAAATAGAAATGGTTTGTTTTACAGAATTCTTAGTCTACATGTTGTGACATGCAGTGGAGGTCAGATTTAGTTCAGAATCTGCTGCCTGAAAATGCTTCACTGCCAAGGTCTCTCATACGGATTTGTTACCATACCGTGATGTCCTTTTTTGGATACAGGAAGAAGAATGGCTTCAGAATGGGAGATCTATGGAAAGAAAGAGGAACATCTAAGAAGAAGGGCATGACTTACGTACAGAGTTGTACAGGACTCTTGAATGATTTACTTTACTTCATAGCATCACCATTGCTAATTGATGAAGGTCAAAATAAAACAATAATGAAAATTATAATAAATAATAATAATCCTTGCATTTGATATAGCGCCTTATCATGTCTTCTAGACGTCTCAAAGCGCTTCACAGAATATACTGTAAAGTGAATACTGTAAAGCGAATTGACTGTATATTTTGTGGGCAAAATGTGGCAGCCAATTGTGCAAGCAGTATCCCACAAGCGACCAAATTATTTTAAAAATTTATTTTGACTAAGTTATTACTGCTGGAAAAGCGATCCGCCAATCGACTAACAACCGGGTTCCTACTTACTGCTAGGTTAACAGAGGCGTGTGGAGTAATTAAACTCTCCCAATGTTTTTACCCTGCCCAGGAATCAAACCCAGGTCCTCTCGCTTGAGAGGCAATTGCTCTACCCACTAAGTTACAAGATTTCACATCAACCACAAGTCATGGTTGACTCATGAGATACCCGCTCAGAAGCACTGAAAATAGAGTTGGGATTGGGATATATCGTCACGAGCAATGCAATGGACATTTTTCTTTTGCATCATAATTTTGCCTACAAAATACAGAGTCACTATAATAATAATAATCCTTGCATTTGATATAGCGCTTTTCACGTCGGGAGGACGTCGCAAAGCGCTTCACAGAACACACTGTAAAGTGAATTGTCTGTATATTTGTGGGCGAACGTGGCAGCCAATTGAGCACAGCAATGTCCCACAAACAGTCGTAGATTGAAAATGACTAATTTATTATTGTTTTGTTTTGGAGGGATTATTATTAGGCGTGTGGAGTAAGGAAACTTGCCCAAGGTTTCGCCCTGCCTGGAATTGAACTCAGGTCTCTCACTTTATAGTAAACCCTGTGAAGCACATTTGAGACATTTCGATAACATAATATCAAATCCAAGGATTATTATGATATGGGAGTATTGATGGATTCAAAAGCAGGACTGCCATTCTTCATCCATAATGAATAGGCACACAACAATTTACATATCACATGAATAATTTCCAATGACAAACACAAACATTTAGACTTTAAGATTGCAGTGAGAAAATTTCCAGAAGCTGGAGATTTAGGATCCGTGCAAAGTTTCAGCATTTCAGTGTTCCACTGAGGATTAGTCAATGCAGCTAAACTAGTTACACATTGTACTGTACAGTGATTTAAATCAGTTCAGTAAAACATACTTTTGTGGTGCCTTTAAATTTGATGTACAAAATGTTTTGGCTTACTGTTCAGTTATAAAACTTTTTAGTATGTTCAATACAACCTTTGTTGTTTGCAATGGGTTAATGAGGTGTTGTCACATTTCAGATATACCTCCCCAACCCTTGGGAGTTTCTTGTCCATTCATCTCACATTAACTAATTAGTCATAAACTCTGTCAAGTACACCTTACAAAGAACACTTAGACAGGTGGAAAACATAACTCTCTGAGGTAGATAAATGGTCATTTAGCTTGTGCACAGAGAACATTTCCAACAACCCTTTCTAACAAGCTGACATATGGCAAAAATATATTCCAGAACGCACATTTTCTGCATTGCATAATTTTAAAAAGGATATCCAATTGTTTTGATGGCGTGTAATTTTAAGTGTAGATTACCAAAAATTGATAATTTGTTTAAAAAAGTCAGAATATTTGTATTGCAAAATTAAAGGCTTACAATCGATTTTTAGATCCATGGGGTAAAGCACATTAAACATTATGCGCAACATTTACATGATAAAACTCTTGTTTTAGTCAATCAGATTTACATTGTCTCCAGGCCCTCATACTCACACTTTGGGTCTTCCTCCAACAATTCCAGTGAGACCTGGTGCTGCACAAAAACACAGACAAATAGTTTTTAAGCAGCAATACTTAATAGATGCCAAATCAATTGGGTTGTTTAAAACGGAAGTTAGTTGATAAGAAATAATGAGTCCATTTAATATAGTGACTTTCACTTCAGAAGGATATCTCAAAGCATTTCACAGGATTTACTATAAAGTGTAGTGACTGTTGGCGAAGGTGGCAGCCAGTTTGTCCCACAACAGCGATTTCCCACAAAGAGCCATGAAGTGAATGAGTGATTTTATTTGGGGTTTATTAGTCAGGATACCAGGAGAAAAACCTTCATTTTTCAAATAGTGCCATGGTACCATTAGCATCCACTTGAACAGACAGACAAGACCTTAGTTTAACGTCTCATTTAACACCTATTATTTGCAATAAGTTCTGGGTTCTTACATTATATACCATGCAAGAAACATGTAGTATATTAAGGGTTTGGTGCTGTCATTGCAAATGTATCAAATAACACGAATGTGAGCTTATTACCTTCTGCACTTGATTCATCACTCCAAGATGTTATCCCATGTGAAGTCACGATTAAATGTAAGTAGTTGTTGTTGTTGATTGTGTTCTTGTTCAATCAGTACAAACTTTTTTTTAAAAAGTATGACAATACATTGTCATGGCAAAATTAAATTCTGTCGTTGAAATTACACTGCACTGCACACAGAAGTCCTGTAGCTCAGTGGTTAGAGCGCTCGCTTTGCAAGTGAGAGACTTGAGTTCAATTCCAGGCAGAGGGTGAAACCTTGGGCAAGTTTCCTTACTCCACACAGAGCCTAATAATAATCCCTCCAAAAAAAAACAATAATAAATTGGTCATTTTCAATCTACGACTGTTTGTGGGACATTGCTGTGCGCAATTGGCTGCCGCCTTCGCCCACAAATATACAATCAATTCACTTTACAGCATATTCTGTGAAGCGCTTTGAGATGTCTAGAAGCTGTGAAAATGCTATATCAAATGCAAGGATTATTATTATTACTTTATGTTGAAGGTTTTCCTGCATGTTTGTTATCCATTAGCACAAGACAGTAAAATACCTCATGTTTAAAACATACTGCCAAAGCTTCCTTCTGTCTCTAGAAAGGGATCCTGGCCAACAATTGCCCAGATAAAATTAATCATTCACTTAATTGCTGTTTGTGGGCACTGGTGTGCGCAAATTGGCTGCCTTTTCGCCTACAAAATACAGTCACTACACTTTACAGTAGAACCTTATGAAAAGCCTCAGGGCATCTCGACAACATGATTAGGCACTATAGCAAAGGATTTTTTAAAATTTCATCAATTTTCAAAAAGAGCTAAAAAAAAAGCCCACAGATAGCAATGTATTTCCAGCAGCGAAAAAGTGACAGCCATACAATAATTAGGGAAATACTCAGTGTGTGTTCTACAGTAACTGCTGGTAGCCTTGTTTCAATATTTAGACAGTTTCGTAGTTAAGAGGATAAATAGTCGTGTACAGTGTCAACCAACAGCCTCTGCAGTATCACCCAGCGGACACTTGGGAGTCACTTAAGGGTCAGCAATTATTTTCTTTAAAGATATCTTGAGTGGACCCAGGCTCCCACGTATTTTTAAATATTCTCAGACTTTTGTGAAGGTCTTTCAAGCAAAGTTCAAGAAGATATAAATTTAGCCAACTATTGCAATCAGAAATTTTAGCTCTCTTCCCACCCCCAATGTCACAAGGTTATAATAGTAATAATATTCCATGCATTTGATATAGCTCCTATTACATCAAAACAGCTCAGAATCATTTCAGAGTTTTCTATCGATTGTATTGACTTATACAGGGTGACCAAAGAGTCACGATACCATTACAATGTCTAATAAGTTTTAAAGAAATTATATATTTATTTTTAGGTAATAGGTGAACCATTATTTGTAGTTGGTTCACTTGTGAACTTTTTGGTGAACCACTATTTGTAGTTGACTGCAGTAAATTTATACATAAAATGTCTCAGAAACAGTCAAAAAGTGAATAATTTTTTTTCTTTCTGGGGACTATTGGCCAGGTCACTGGAAGAAATTTCCTTCTTTCTTGAGTAGTGTCATGAGATGTTCAACGCCTAGTTGAACAGGTAGACAGGACCGTGCTACTACTGTTCATCCACATGACGACACCTCAAACAGTACAGTGTGCCTCTTTGCATGCAATGGAGTCTAGACTAGACTATGAGGTTCAAGTCCCCATGTGGGGTTTGAACCCACAACCTTCTGACACAGAGGCTTAATGCTACCAACTGAGCCAGGCTGACATCTATGACTATGGCTCACAATGAGATCCACTACACAAGTCTAGACAGTGAATATCAACAGGCTATTTAATCAGGGCCAGAGGAGTTAGTGAGCCCAGAAGGTAGTTCACAGCTGAGCCCATGCTGGTCCTTACCCACATACTCTACATACATATCTCGCTTCAATTCATAGTTTACATTTAAAATCATATCTACTAGTTCTGTTCTCATTATTAAGCCAAATGACCCACCTCTTGTCATTTTGAAGATGTGACTGATTTCCAATGAGAACAAGTTCAACTCTGCAATTTTTTCCTGGAAACTTCAGAGCTTGAATCATCTTTTCTCTGAACTAATTCAATGCCCTTTTGAAAGTGGAGTGCCCAAAACTGCACCTAATATTCCACATGTGGCCTCAACGGTTATTTACACAAGATTGGAATAAAATGTCTCAACTTGAAGTGAAATGCCCTTAAATATAATCTAGTACTTGATTATTGTCACTAAGAGTAACTTCACATTCACTTTCAGTGACTGGTCAATAGTCACTTGGAAATACAGACCGCAGACAACTGTCTGTGACCCTTATTAATGAATACAACACCACCTAGCAAGAAGGTGTTCCAATGAACCTTTTCAAGGTATTGGATGCTGTCACATTCCTTCACAACAAATGGATCTGTCATAGGGAATGACTGAGAGTATACAAGAGATTGTGATCTTCCTGGGTACAAAAGTTTTGGATTTCAGTTCTGCATTAGGATCTGATCTCACCATCCAGACTGACACTCTAGTGCAATATTGGGGGGAGTGTGGCACTCTCAGAGCCATTATGTTTCAGATAAGACACTGATCCAAGGTCTTATCTGTCTGTTCAGGTAGATGTTAAAGATCACGATTTGAAAAGGGAAGGGAGTTTCTCCCGATGTCCTGGCCAAAAGTGACATTCACCTCATAGCTATTTGTAGAACTTGCTGGTGCAAATCGGTTGCCATGTTGGCCTATGAAAAAGGTCATTGCACTCAATAGTAATTACTGGGAAGCATTTTCGAAAGTTTCGACATGTTAAAATGCAAGCTCTTTCTAATGTTTTTAGTTTACAATTCCCACAAAGGTGCAACTTTTCAGCGTCAGTACCCCAAATGCATTTCTAAGTGGCGAGGGTAGATTTTCACTCCAACAAAGCTATCAATTACACAGAAAAGCGAAAACAAAAATGCTTCAAGCTGAAGCCTAAATCCTTTCATAAATGTCTGCAGTCATTAAAATGAGAGCGTGGCTTTGAGAAGATTGATTTAAATTCAGAGAGGCTGAGTTGAGAACAAATGCCTTTTATTCTGCTGTTTTTCACTTGGAGGGGAGGGAGGAAAAAAGCCTCCTGGCAACCCAAGATCTGCATTTTCAGGTTGATTTGGTTCCTTAAAGTATTTAAACAAGATTATTCTTGACGATTCGGAGGTACGCTTCTGGGGAGCTGTTCCGTCAGTCTCAGAATTAGGTCATCATTGAAACGTTCAGAGGAGTCTGAAAGAAAGTCACATAAAAGGGTCCTAGAAGGTACTGGTCCAAATAACCCGAGCAGGATTAGTTGCTTCCCAATTCTGACAGGATTATCTGATGCCCTCACTATGCCAATTTTTGGTGCCAGAGAAGCAGACTGCGTAATACTGTCTGAGTGCTGTTGGCTGGGGTGGAACGGTCACATGCGTTTGGCTGTTCCAGTGTCCTCCAATGACTCAGAAATAAAAATCACATCTGTTCAAGAATGGATTGATTGAGCCAGTCATGAGAGTGTCCTAGATTATAGAAGGGAAGGTGATCTGGCTCCATACATCATCCCTGCCTTCCAATCCGCTAGCCCACCCACTCAAGAAATCAGCTTGCAGTGGTAGGCAAGAACAAATCTCAATTTAAAAACAACTGGCTATGATGCACATTGGATGGTGCAAGGTGTCAGCGCCATATTTTAGACTTGAGCAGACAGATTCCCCTTCAGGGACAAATAACTACTGTATTACTCATTCCATATTTCTCATTATACGGTCTGACAACCACCCTAGGTGGGGCCCAATGAAGCACTTGATGACCTTAGGAACACAAGAAATCATGGAAAGCCATCGTACAATCAGATTCACTTCCTCCCCAGACCACAGACACAAGTCTATAATAATGGATTCTACCCGAGTATTTAATCTCGGCAGGAAAAGTTCCCTATCCTTTCACTGTGATCCAAAGATAACCAAGACAAAGTACAGAATGTCTATCTATCTCCACTGTTCAACACTAACTATGGAGTCCTGTAGCTCAGTGGTTAGAGCACCCGCTTTGCAAGCGAGAGACCTGAGTTCAATTCCAGGCAGAGGGCGAAACCTTGGGCAAGTTTCCTTACTCCACACAGAGCCTAATAATAATCCCTCCAAAACCAAAAACGATAATAAAATTGGTCATTTTCAAATCTACAACTGTTTGTGGGACATTGCTGTGCGCAATTGGCTGCCGCGTTCGCCCACAAATATACAGTCAATTCACTTTACAGTGTGTTCTGTGAAGCGCTTTGGGACGTCCTCCCGACGTGAAAAGTGCTATATCAAATGCAAGGATTATTATTATTATTAACTGTCTGCTTTCTGCAAACAACATCTGCTTAGTCATGGAAAGTATTGTTGATCCATGGAACATTTAATAGTATCCATTCATATTCACTCCTGTAATCGCCAATCAATATTCTAACACATTCCCTTA